GCAGGAATGTTTAACGTTGCCTACTGCTACTAGAAAGAAAATCGGAGTGTTACAAGACTGATTAAAGTAATGTGTATTAAAATTAATACAAATTGTTTAACCTAAAAACCTTTTTCTAAATGTTGTAAAACAGCACCACAGACAAACTTTTAAGCCTTCGCATGATCTCACATAAAAAGCACCAATATGAAAACTGAAAACATGATCAGCAGAGAAATTAATAATTTTCAATTCTACAATTTTAAACAAATACAGTCATTAAAGAGGCAAAACCAGAAACATGTTTGTTCCAAAATAGTTCCATTCATAGACAGAAGTAGCCCATTCAAATGGACTATTATTCAAAATAGTAATATTCAAAATTTGGATTCTATAATCCACAACCCACCACAAAAGGTCTACCCAGTTTGCAGACCTTTACAGCCAGCCAGTTCACTGTTCGTTCTCCTTCACACTTAAATATTTCAGACTTGAAATGTGAACTATATTTCTGCTTTCGGCTGAACCAAGATAACCCTGACTAAATGACAAAGCCTCTGATTAACCCAGCACTTTTCTGACCAATAGTAATAAATTATCATCAATAACTAAGTTGATGCTTCCCGCTTCATTTGTTTCTAAAACCAATGCCATCATTCAACAAATAAACTACATCAATCTAATAACCTATTCAATGAAGCAGAAAACATATTGACTTCCTCGCAAGAACATGTTTCTCCTACATAATTCAGATAAGCACATCCCATTCTTAGCAATGGTTTCCGGCTCAACTGCTCAGAGATTCTTCTTTGCAGCTTTCTTGACAACTAAAATGTGGCAAGTTCTTAAGATTTCAGGCAGAAACAGATATGGAAGCTTTGACTTCTTGACAGTTTATTGATAGATTATTTAACAACCTCCTGTTTTTAAAGAACAAGAAAGGATCTATTGAAGAATGCCACGTAAAGCAAAGAAGTTTCAATTTCAGCAGGGAACTTGGAGAGGAGCTATACAGGCTTTAGAGTAAACTCTGCAGAAATATGCATTTTGATACAAAATAATGCCTTGATAGTAAGGGCCTCACAAATGTGATTGGGTTCCCCCTTGTGCAGAATCTCACCGACTTCCATGAGGACCAACCGTCTGCTGAACAACTCTGAGTGCTTGTGCACAAAAACTACATCTTGACAAATTTTAACTATTACACAGTTGTCCTTTACCCACAATTGAAATCTCAATGCTTAAAATGTTAAAAAAAAACCCAAAACAACAACAACACAACAGAATTTTAAAAGAATCAAAATTGTAACTGCAGGAAAGTGCCTATATTTTTATTACCATTATCAATACAAATTGTCCTCAAAATAATGACTGCACATCTATTTTTTAGAAACAAAGCCAGCATTAAAAGATAACAAGCCATCGGTCACCTCAAAATGGCAGAATATATTCTCTCCTTTGTTTTGATGATTTAAATAATTACTGTAACTGTAAGTGAAAACATTGACATAATAGAACACTTCAGCATCTCATCAGCATTGTGTTACTATAGGATAATAGTGTATTACTCAGAACTTGCTTTGCACTTGTTTCTTGATATTTATAGCTTCCTTAGTGGCAATATACTGAATCCGTGCCACTATACATTGCCTTGACTTTTAAAGAAAGATTTTACAGTGATATCATTGTGTGGCTTTTATAATGTTATTGGACATAACTGGATGCTCATTATACACCAATACTTATCTGCCTTGATTTACAACTAAATTTGAGACTAGTACAGGTTAACCAGAGACATATTTTTAAATTTTAACTATTAAAAAATAAATAAATAATCGCATACAGAATTAGCTTTTACTTAGCAAAAATGCCGATTTTTTGCATGTAAGAAATAGAACTACTGGACAACTATTCAATTTTTGCTCAAGTTGCAAGCTCATTACTATAAATGTAATGCTTTTTTTGCCTTTTTTTTTTCCCTCTTTAAAATACTGCTTGGTTTGAAAGATTAGCGGTGTCTACATAATATGCAACTTCCTACAAGACCTCTTTAGGTTGGCGGTTACTTACGGCATAGAAAAATCATCATTTCTTTACAAGTTCAAACCAAAACCGTAACAAAACCAAACCTTGAATCCCTCCGTGGCAGCATCTTAAAACCCTTTTTATGTTTACCTGACACGAAACACAGAGGTAGTATCAATAGCCCGTTCTCTTATTTTATTCCCCTATGCCTATCTTCTTACAGAAAAACCTACATAAATGCCTCTAAAGCAAAACACCCTAAAAAGAGGAAAAGAACCCCCCCAAACAATCCAGCACTCACAGCTGATGAGCGTAAATTACCCAGGAGCTGAAAGCAGCGTCTCCAGGGTATCACGTGCCAGTTTTCTGGATCAATCCCCAAGTTTATATTTTCACAAATCTTTTTACATGCAGTTTGATTTTTAACATTTTAATGAGCAAAAAGTGCATCTACAGCAGCCAGCCACCACAGTTAAAGTGCAGGGCATGAACTGTCCCCCTCGGGGGATTCAGCCCAGCCGTGTCACCAGTGGCTTTAGGACATACACCACCTGGTTCCCTGTCCCAGGGTTCCAACTCTTTTCATAATCAAAACACTGCTGACATTATAAACCCCACACGGGTTTTCTAAAATCCTTCCCAATCAATAAAGCCGGTACATAACTTATCGGAGACAACACAGAGCTCATTGATTAAGTTTGGTTTCAGTAGCAAAGTTTTCAAAATAAATGAGGCAGGAACACAGCGTTCAGCCCTTTTGTGTCACACCGCAATGTATGAAGGTGAGGCAGTCTCTGAAAGGATTTCCTCCACACACACGAGAGAGACTTCAAAAGCGTATGGAAAGCAAGGTTGTTACATACACACAACACACACTCGGCTTGTGTCCTGAATTATCTATACATTGAGATGAAGTAGTAAAGAAAGCTCAACGTTGCTGAAAAATTTTGCATATTCACTTGTGAATTTAATATGCAAGCTGTATCTTAACAGATACAGCTGTATCTTTTTTATTTTTAAAACTTTCCCTGTATGGTCCCACTTCCAAGTCAATGGAACAACTTCAGGGCCTCCTGAATATACAGGATCTCCTGTTCAAATGAACATGGGTAACAGATATCCCATGCTGCAGCTACAATTAAATAAAACTGCACTGATTAAATGATATGCAAATTGATGGTCTAATGCAAGAACAGCAGACTTGCAAACAATCTACTCTTCCAAAGACATGCACTAAACCTTCAAAGTGGAAGAAGAAGTCTAAGTTGGAGACAAAAGAAATTAAAATACAGGCAGAAATCTGTGAGAAACGATGAACAATTAAGGCAAAACACTCAAACATTAATGCAAGTCAGAGAAGGGAAACAATACACCACAAAACCCAACAGGCTGGGGACCTGCGTTTGGAAGCCTGTTGGGAAACCTGAGGAAAACCAAGCTGAAGTTGCAAAGACCACCCAGTACAGACCAGACCCTTAGCTGTGGATCATGGAGGGAGCGAACACAAAAAAGCAATACAAAAAACTCACAGCCATATTTCAGAAAGTACATACGTTTTTACAGGAGGACAATTCAAATACTACAAGAGAATGGAGCACTGCAAATAGGAGGAGTTTTCCATGGAGAGAGGAGGTGACTGGGCGATGAAAGCGATGAATGCTGGTGTATCTCCCTGAGCTCAAGTACAGGGGAGGTTGCGGGAAGCAAAACACTAAACAGAGAGGGTGGAAATACAAATAGTTTTCAACTTATCCAGCTTGAAATACCATCTGCATCCTCAAAACAAGCATGAAATCCATCTTCACATGGAGGGGCATGAAGAGAGTTTCAAGAACACATCACCGGAGTGACACAGAAGGAGCAGAGAGCGGAGAGCAAGGAGGGTTAAGAAGAGAACGCCGACAGCTCAAGGGCTCAAGGCAAGCCAGAACAGGCAACAGCATCCCGGTGTGACCAGCAGGCAACTGAAGAGGATTTTAATTCTGCTCAGAAACAGCATCAAATTTAAACATAACGAAAAAATGTTAATATAGCATAAAAGAGTGCTAAGACATTGCTTTAACCGAAGCAAAATATTATCCAATTATTTTGAAATCTGGGTTGTACATTAGTCCACTTTATAGCCACAAAACTGTAAACATATTTAATACATCTATTTGAATAATCTTAAGCTAACAATTAATTAAATCATCCACTGCAATGCAACAACAGGTTTAAGAATTCAAAACAGCTGTCAGTTCACCCAAATAACCACCTTAAACCTGACAACAACTCGGTTTAAAACCCAAAGGGTGGTGAAAGGAAAAGTACAGAACAATCTAGAACACCATAAATTCTGCCGGCCATGCCGAGTTGGTGGGAAACTCTGATACGTTCTCCTAGGTAAGGGAACATCTTTCTGCACAATCAGCACCTCAGTAACAAGTTTCGCTAACTATTTTAAACATTTTACAAAGCAACTACTTACAATGGCTGGGAAAA